ATCTTACTATGATTATTGACAGAATGATAGAACAAAAGTAATTGTTATCGCAACTGCTATTGTTATTTGAGAGAATGGCCTCCGGTATTTATTTCGTTCCATTAATTTTACTCGTTGCTTTTGTTTTGGTTTACTTTATTACACATTAGAAATAGTTAATATATAATATATTACACGTCAATATATGGAAATTTATAAGAGATTTATGAATATTCAAAAAGGAAAAGAAAAAAAAAAATGTTAATGATAGAACTTTGCGATTACAATTTCAGAAAACTATATATATATTTAAATATATGTATAAGTGTGTACTTTTATCAATACACCGGCAATAACTGAAAATGCTTATACATCTTTTTATTAAATTATGTTTATGAATATATCAGGTGTATTCATCCGTTCCGAAGTGTGGCAAAAAACAAGTCACTTCTTTAAAGTCACTAAGTGACATATTGGCATTACTGTTGCAATCCTACAAATGTTATATTTTCACAAAGAGCAAATCTTACTCTTAGAGCGTCCGAATATATCTATTGTCTCCAGAAATAGAGTTATGGAACAAGACTGTAAAAATATTATTAGTGGTGGTTTGATACGTTTGTGAAAAGGTATAAACTCTGTTGGTAATGTAATTTAAATCAGTAGAGTGATGTGATATAATATAGGAGTACGGGTGAGGAAATTTGAACGATAGGGTTTAACTTCATGTGTGCCTTTAAGCATGGAAACTGATGGGCGATATCATGTGAACCAGTAGTGCAGAGAGGGCATTATCTAGCGATAGACGTTTTTATGCGTTATAAGTAACTACTTAGGACGTGGCTATATCATGTTTTCAATTGGAGAAAGATATAGTTCTTGTTTCAATGGGGGATAAGTGTTACATATTAGACCTGTTAAGCACTTTGTTGTAAAACAACCTTTGTTGAACTTAAAGACTGTAATACCTCGTTGTTATGCAGTGCGAAAAGAACTTGTCGATAATTTACATCATTGATATTATCTCCGTTGCGGTAGAAGTAAATGCATTTATGATACGTAGAAAGAGGTCGGTTATACAACGTGGAGGGGTTCATTTCACTATGGCGTGATTTGAATGTAAATCTGTAGGGCAAATATACATTTTTTGGATGTAGTGAATTTAAGTTGAGAAGGGCAATGATGTAAAAATGAAATATGTAATGAAACTGGTTCTAGCTCATTTTTAGTAATACCACTCACTGCTCAGTGCTTAATGAAATGGTTTGTAGCATCTAGTTGTTCTTAAGAATGAAATGGTTAGTATTAGTAGTTGTTGTAAACTTAACAGCGGACAGTTTGGTTTCGGTCTTTCGTTATTGTAAACCGCAGAGATCTACTTGAGAGATGACATGTCGACATGTGATCATGTCGAATTTTGTGCCTGAAAAAGAAAACTTGCAGTTGAAAGTCATCGTTTGCTGCTAGAAACAAACGATGAACACACTTCATCGATTAAAACATGTGAGACATGATTTCGACAATTTGAAAGTGATTTCCATATAAAAGATAGTGAGCGTTACACCAGAAAAGTGCGAAGACGAGTAATTACAGAAGTTGCACAACGCTATCGCTAACAAATGTTTAATTTAAAACACGCATTGGTCGAATGACAACCGAAATAGGTCAGAACACATGGCAAATTGACTTTGTTACACGACACAATGTGCCTTCTCACACAGCAAAACCAGTCAAAGACACATGGAAATTGGTCGGACAGGACATCTTTTCGTACCCGCCGTATTCCACAGACTTGGCGCCATTTGAGAATCACCTCTTCGCATCAATGGGGTTTGTCGCAAAAGACAAACATTTTTTCTGCCATGGATTTCATAAATTATCTGTAAGATGACCAAATGTGTATTAGTTGATGGCCAATATTTTGAATAAAAAAAATTTGTTTACTTTAAAAAGACCGGAATACACTTATGCATCACGTGGTAAATGTTTTAGAAAGTGGGTGATGGTTTTATGTGCGAGGGAAGGTGAGGAGAGGGGATTGTTTCAAAATAAGAATAGATTAGAGATGGATGAAATTGTAATTAAAGTCAAGCTAGGCCAAGACAAAGAAACCTAGCCACTTCAGTGTGATGGGTCCAAAGATTGATTGGACATGAAAACAGATTAGCGACATCATGGATCTCCCACAGCTGCATTTAGTTCTCACATTGAGAGTTGAATATATATTTATACGTAACAAGTAAATCTTTAATGTATGGCTGTAGACTGATCTCAATTAGGACAGTTTTTGCTGTGAGTGAAAGGCACCCGTCTTCTTGATAGAAGGTATTAAGCGAATGCCTATTGGGAACTCTTTTGCAGTGCACGTGGTCTTAAAGACTTGCTTATGAAAATATGCGTCGGTTTTTAAATTTATTGGTGTTAAAAAGAAATCACTGATTGAAAATTATATGCTTTTATTAACATATAGGGATCAGTCGTTTTTATAAGCTGATCAGATGATCCCCTTTTTGTATGACTATGGTCTTTTCTAATGAAATGGACTGTAGCAACTAGTTGTGCTGCTTAACAATAAAATGCTTAGTATAGGTTATTGTAAAGGACAGAACGCAGTTTTTCGGTAACTGTTAGGATTCCCAAACGGCAGTTTATACAGGCAAGTGGCTACGGACTGTAGACGCGGTAGCTTAAGCAAGTAAGTGGTTTGTAAATGTTTTAGTAGGAAAATGAAACCATTAATTGAAAATCATGTTCTTTCATTAATACATATGGATCAAAGCCTACTATCAACTATAGGAAAGATAGCCGAAAAGGTAATTCTTGGCAGATTAAATATTGTAGTGACTTTACGCAATATACTCCCTGATGAGCAATTCGGCTTTAGAAATGACATGTCCATGGAGAACCAGGGGTTCATCAGGGATCGCCATTTTCTCCCACTCTACAACATTTATGCACCTGATAATCCAATGTTAGGTCCCTCGACTCTGGCGTTATATGCTGACGATACGTGTCAGCTATACTCAGACAAATGTGCTCTCAATATAACCAACACACTTCAAGAGCATATAAACCTCATTCTGGAGTATTTCCAGAAATGGAAAATAAAAATCAATAATGAAAAAACTAAGACTCTGTTTATTAAGCGTAAGTGGAGACAGAAACAGTCAAGAGTGAGAGTGGGAGATATGGTAATAAACTGGGAGGATAGCGTTAAATATCTTGGCATCACGTTGGACAAACGATTTACATGGCTTAAACATGTTCAACTCAAAACAATTAGCTGCGCCAAAATTCTTCATCACCTCCAACCGCTATTCAGAAATGAAAATCTCAATGCTAAGAACAGGAAACTGATATATAATCATATAATTCGTCCGTCACTTCTATATGGTTGTGTAGCGTTTAGTAAATCTTCAAACAGTACTATTCGTCAGCTAGAAATTGCACTAAGTCAGGCTCTGAAAAGACTTTTCAAAGTACCATTGTACATTAGGATGAATGACATTTTCAAGGACCTCAAGATTGATCCGATCAAAATATACATAAAGGATAGAGCCCTGAAATTATTTGCGAAAACTGACAGACTTACCAATACCGTGTTATCGAATCTCAGAATGGTTACAGGCTCCTCGGGGAGGTATGCAGATCTGTGGTCAATTATTGCTTAATCTGACAAAATGATAAACATTAATCCAGTCAAGGCGTAAAAAAGGGTTTTGAAAATACCCCGAGTTATTAGAGAGTAAAAGTGCTTAAGTGCACTGGCTCAAATAACTTCAACATAATAGTATATGGATCAATAGTTTTTGAAAACGAAACAGATGACCTGCTTTTTGAATGACTATGGTGTTTCGTAATGAAAGATACAGTAGCAGCCATGCTCTTTAATAATAATTTGTTAATATTAGGAGTTGTTGTAAACTGAGTAGGCGATCCGCTTTTTGGATGACTGTTAGGATCCCTGAATGGCAGTCTGTACAGGCAAGTTTTTTTATATGTATTAGTAGTTGTTGCAACCTAAACAGAGAACCCGGTTTTAACTTTTTGGGGAACTGTGGTCTTTCGTAATGAAAGGGATTGTAGCAGTCATGTTCTTTAATAATTAATGATTAGTATTAGTGGCTGTTGTAAAGTGAACTGGGGACCCGCATTTGGTCTGACTGTTAGGCTTCCTGAAAGATCTTCGGTACAGGCAAATGGCTACGGACTGTAGGCGCGATCACTCAATAAAGTAATACTGTTTTTCTAACAATGGTTAGTATGTTGTTGAATAAATAAAAGAAATCAATGCTTTAATTTTATCACTGAAATGTAAATATGTATGTATATACAGACTTACATATTGTATGTTGTGTGATATCTAAAGGAGTAAGCTTGGCGCCAAAGCAGATAGAAGAAGTTTTTTGTGTGTACAGTGTACACTGCAACTGTACGGGAAAGATAAGAAAATTATTTTAATAAATTTGTTGAGAGCACATTTCTCGAAACTATTTCATATCCATAATCATTTGTACGCAATATGTTTCTTTTAAGAAAAGATTATAACTCCAGTTCTCATTTTTCAACAGCACATATGGCATTAAGCATGGATAGGCATTTGTTGATATAGATATATCAAACATACAAACATAAGCATATATACATGCTGTGTTTAAAGAGCAACATATGTGTATATGTATGCACTTTTGTATATACACAAACTGAAGCTGTCAGTGTTGCTGCTTACTCCATTCCTCCCCACTTGACGGCAGGCAACATAAGGAATATTTCACATCGGCGAATGCATACTTCGGCTACGCACGAAAGGAACATGAATGACAGACAGCAAAGCTACGACCTACGGCAGGGTTGAAAGAGATTCTAATGTTTACGTTTTTATTGATGTAAATATAAAATCCGTTTCGTACGTTTTATCCTGAAGTTTTAGTTTTTATTAATTCCTACTGACACCAAACAAAAAATAAAATTATTTATATTAGATTTTTTTTTTATAAATAATAGTTATGAATTTTACTTACAAAAAAATTTTTTAACTCGTGTCGCTTAACTTCAGCGTAGAAAATTAATTTGTTAAATTTTTATTTGTTTTATTTATTTTTTTTTCTCTAACAAATTGGCGGGCGCTTTTTTCTTATATTGAAATATACAGAAACGCAAAACACAACAACAATAACACCACAACGTGCGGTGTGGGGTATATGCCGTACAATATTAAAATGAATAAGAGTGAAGCTGGTGCTGGTGCTGGCGCTTCTGCTGGTAGCGAACGCGGTAACTAACTAACAGCAGTTGTTGTGGCGACTGATAAAACCAGATTTTCCCCCCTTCAAATGATTTCTTATTTGCTCAAGTTTAATTTAAAATTTTAACAAATGTTAAAAATGTTAATTTCAATATTTTAATAATATTTATCATTAAAACTTTTTTTCGTTTATTTTTTGTTTTCTATTATTTTTTTCTATTTTTTTTTTGTTATTTAACGACGTATTAACAATAAAAATGCGAATTCCTGTTTTGTTGCCACTTTTTTATTTATTCGTCGTACCTTTTATGTACTTGTTTATCTATTTTATATTTCCGTTTATTCGTTTGCACCGTGTTATATGTTATTCCGATAGATTTACCTCGGGCTCCTGTGACCTCTTTTTTGTTGACCACTAGTGTTTGCCGATTTGACTGATTTCTTGGCACTCGTTTGTTTTGGAATTAATTTCGAACACATTATTGTTATAGAAAATTGAGGGATGCTTTAATTGCTTTATTATTTATTATAAATTCTGTTATAAATATATACATATATATATGTAACACCTCAGCACCCGACGTCGTCCACCGTTTCTTGCACTACTTCACTTTTTCTTTGCTGCTTTCTCACTTGCATTTCCTTTGCACAATCAATCACACTCTTTACCTAATTTTTATATTTTATACAAAAATATATATTACGCACACAATTTATTTTATTTGCATATATTAAATTGCTTCAATATATATAACAAATTTGTTAGGTTTTTGGAACACTGCATTCACTGCTGTTTGTTGCGTTATTTTTCATTTTTTTCTTTCCATCGGAATTTTTTTCATTTTGTCGAATAAGAATTTTATACTGACTGCTATTAATTTGACATTTCGACTGAACGCATATCTATTGTATGACTGAAGCAGCAATTCTTCCACACAATCTTGTACATCTTGCTGTTGAACAGTTTGAAAGTCGTTGTATGAAACATATGTTAAAATGAATTCAATAAAAATTAAAGTCAAAGTGATGTGACGTAATGTCTAATAAATTCGTATATAAATACCTATTTTTGTACGGTCTAATATATCAATATTATATAATACACAACTTTTCAAATTAATTTTATTTTAATTAATTATAAAATATAAAATAATATGGACCGTGTACGAGTTCATGTAAATTGAGGTAAAGTAAATTGAAATTTCCTAGGGATTTTTTGCACTGCACTTATGTAAATGTTTATTTATTTATTTATTCTACTCATTTATAATTTTTGTTTAAAAGTTTTCAAATTTATTTTTATAGTTATTAAACATTTTATAAAATTTTCAAAATGGTAACATCTAATATACTTAATTTTTATCTTATTTACCCTACTCGAAATTCTGGTATGTACAAACATTTGCTGCCTTACCGACATAATTTACTATTTCCCTCAATCAATTTACTCGAATTCGCACATGGTCATAACAGAAAAAACGAGTGTTAGCTGCTAGGGCCTTCGACTCGAAAAAATTAGTTTTAAAAATATTCCGAAACAATAAAATATTTTTTAATTATTTATTTCAATATTAACTAATGCTACATAATTATTTTTAATAATAATTATTTCACATAATTGTTTAGTATATGAAATATAATAATAATAATTATTTCTTATAGTAGCTAATCTACTAAAATAATAGCTCGTTGACCATATTTTACTAGTTAAACTAGGAAATATTGTGAATATAATATTTCAAAATTTAAAAATAAAAAATATAGTTAATAAAAATTCAGATAAAATATTAGTTAATAATTCAATTAATAATTATAAAATGTTTTACTATATTCGATATTCCTAAAACTAATCTTAAAAGTTTTATATTCAACATTTTTAGAGTGCAAATTATATACGAACATCAATTATTTAATATAATTAAAAGTATTAAAATAAAATTATATTATAATATATCATTCTAATGGCAAATAGAAAAATTTTACTTATATTACTTATTAATTATTTTTTATTTTAATGTAAATGTTATTTCTTCGAACATTTTTTTCATTTAAATTCAATATAATTATATTAATTTTTTTCTTGCTCTTATTTGTCACGCCAATTTATTAATTGGCGTAATTATTAACTATTATTAAATTGTTTACTTTGTTTAAAGTAATTGCTTTCAAATTATGAATTAATGGCACTTTATGTTAATAATAGAAATTAAGTTTTTTTAATTACACTAATTTTCTTTAATACATTTCACACGTTGTAGTAATTATTACAATCAAGACAAGTATTTTACTATATTAAATAATCATAGGATTACAGCTGTTATATAGAACATAACGTAGAGAAGTACGTCCGTAAGGTATATAGATTTTGATCTAAAAGATGCAGTAGTTAAAAAGTCTGTTAGAAATAAAGCACTGCAACTCTTCATTAAAACTGATAACGATCTTTTTCAACCCTTAACGAGGTAAAGATCTTCAAGCTACTCGAAAGTATTCGAGCTACTTTAAGATATTTGAGTTACTCGAATATATTCTAGCTTTGAAGATATTCAATTTATATTAGAGCAACACGAAGATATTCGAGCTACTCAAAGATCTTCAAGCTACTCGAAGATATTCGATTACTCGAAGATATTCGATTACTCGAAGATATTCGATTACTCGAAGATATTTAAGATACTCGAAGATATTTGAGCTACTCGAAGATATTCGAACTACTCGAAGATATTCGAGCTACTTCAAGATATTCGAACTACTCGAAGACATTCGACCTACTCGAATATATGCGACCTATTCGAAGATCTTCGAGCTACTTGAAGATATTTGAACTACTCTAAGATATTCGAGCTTCTCGAAGATGAGTTACCTAAAAATATTTGAGTACTTGAGGATGTTCAAGTTATTCGAAGATATTCGAAGCACTCGAATATCCTGGAACTAATCGAAAGTGACTGTTTGAGATACTCACAAATATTTGAATTTCCCACTGTAACTGAACAGATGATTGCATATTGCAAATACACAATACTGAGTTCAGCTATATGTATAAAAGTTTAGAAATTAAGTACCCAATATATCATTATCAATGTTGATGCTGAAATCCATAAAAATTTTTGTACTCCGTAGAAATAGTCTTCGTTATCTTTATCTCGCAGATAACGTATTTTTTCCCATTGTTATGGTAATTTTGTACTTAAGTTATGTACTTCGTGGGAAGTATCGCTACAGCTGAGCAGATAATTACAGCTAATCGATTACATTGAGATTAGTTCTATATATGAAGGATCAAAACTTAAATAATCAACGTAAAGATTATCACTGCTGACGTTGTAGGAAGTGAGCGTTTCTCTTCTGATATGTTTGGAGTGTATTATAAATACATAAGACATAAATACTGATTTATATTAGTATTTTCAGTGCAAATTATAGCATATTTGCATCGAAAGCGCTAATTTGATGCACATATAAAGTGTTCTGCCCATAGTAAGAGCGTATCGCTTGGTGTTTCTAGTTATTAGAGCATCAAAACAATGCATTTGGTAGAGAAAGTGATGCGCTTCATCAGTGTAGCGTGGTAAGTTCCTTAAATATATTTGCCGGGGTTAGTCAAATTTAATTTGTTCTAAATATCATCATTATAATAAGTTTTCCGAGGCCTTGCGCTCAATTCCCTGCCAAGGAGAACCAGCCCTTTTTTTATCCTTAGGGAAAGGTTGTTACCAATAGTAACTTACCAGTAATTCACTTTTGGGAATGTGAGCGTTGCCGTTGTTCCCTACAAGGGAATCCTCCGCCACCATCTCTCTGAACAACGCGCTGATATATCATTGCTATCGTTGTAAACTTTAACTTCAGAATATGTTGAAGTAGCTCTGACAAGGCTTCCAATCTTATTCGGTGCAATAAGAGGGCTAATACACTTTACTGCCTTACTGGTTCATCACCAGATATGAAGTCGTTCACCTTTGTTGCATTGCCCGAATGCGCAACGCGGAGGCTGAGATTTGGAATTGAAGTTAAGAGGCTCTTTGAGATGCATGAACTCCTATTGGCATCCCTATTATAAATATATGTACATGTATATGGATTTATATATATATATATATATATATATATATATATACATATATATAACATTTTAGATGCAACTAAATCCAGTAAATATATTTCATGAACTTCCCACGTTGCACTAATATAGCACATAGCTTCCCTGCCAATAGCTTCCCTGCTAATATCGTAGTGCGATATAAAAGACTGCACTATTATGTTATATATCTGCTGTGTGTAAAATCACTGGAATATTCAACTTATGCACTACATAAGTTTAATATCTATCTTAACTCTGTGAAATTCATTCTCTTCATTTAAGTTTAACCGAAAAGTAAACATTTCGTAGATTGCAGATATCGAGCATTGTTCGCAGTTTTTGCTATAGTTTGCATGTTAAGTTTCCTCAACTTTTGTGGGAATATCGAATGAATGAAGCAAGGATTAAAAATTAATATTAAAATTTCCATGCACGTCTTGAGCAAATTTTTTAAAAGAAATTCTGAATGCAAGATGAAGAGGAACTTCTTCTATTTCAAACATTATTATAACTTTTTCCGAGCATGTATTTTTTATGTTTTTATCCTTTGTGTCTTTTTGATTTGTTTGCGAAAGTTACATTTTAAGTACGTAATTGTTTTGAGGCAAAACTTAGTTAAGTGCGCTTAAAGCAGCTTTTAATTTGTTAAGAGAATGCAGTTTGCATTTTGCTTAAATCCGAAACGCTTACAAATCCAATTTAGGATTGCAATTTATATAGTTTTTACTCAAATAAAGTGTCTTCAAGTGAAATTAAAAATAACTGTAAGCGCGTTTTTCGCTTAGATGTCATTAACATCGGCAGCATTGACAACATCACCAGCATCAACAGCATCTCCAGTACCAGCACCAGTACTAGCACCGACAACGGTAGAAGTAACAGTGTCGTCGTCAACAACGTCAGCATCAAAAAGATTATCTCCGTAGCATTTGACGGTTGTGGTTACATTTGCTGCCGTGCTAATATCTGCGAATTTAAGGCAGCATCCAAGAGCTACAGCTACATCATTAGCAGCTGAAAGTGATGTACGGAAAACGTTGAAACGTTGAACGTTGTGGATATGAAATGGTAAATAAACCTTGCAGGCAACTTCA